GGGGACAAGGGGGCCGGGGGGCCCGCCCCCCCCCCGCCCCAGTGCACAAATTTTTGTGCACCGGGCCTCTAGTTTTTAATTATAAGAAAAATTAACTGGAAAACAAAATGGATGTAATTTGATTATGTTGAAAAATGAAATAAGTAGAAATGGCTTATCTTATTAGCGATATTTGATCATCATACAACTTTTTTCTGTAACATTTAGTACATGCATCACATTATAAGGTCTGCTATGGCTAAGCCTAATTTAAAAGGTCTATTCTTTTTTTTAAAAATCCAAACAAAGCGATATTCTTAAGAAATGAGTATCAGACTTACCAGTCTTCTCCTTTCTTCTTCTACTGTGATGAGTAGTCTTGCAAATTCTTTTAGTGACTGAGCTATTTAAAAGACAAATTTTAAAAAGAAGTATTAACCTCTTTTCATTGCTAATATCTAACTGCACAGGAACAAACGTTACAATGAAACTAGTTATAAATTTGTATTTATTCTATAGTTTTATGTTTTTATAACCATAACACAGTATATACAATAGAATCTCAATGAATAATGGCTATAGATAAGATGTTTGTATGCCACAAATCAAAGTTAAGCACATAGCAAGTACAATATTTTTTTTCTTTAAAGACACTAGGGGAATATAGTTTATATATTTAATATAAAAAACTCTCACATTAATAAATAGAAATATAGTACTGGAATCACCTCTAAACAGAATATTACAAATAATGAAAAGCATATTAAATCTATAAGAAGCAATAAATCCAGTACTATTTAGATGTACTTAGTAGCAGCCAGTAATACAAGGGCTCCTACTGCCATCTTTCTAGAAGTTCAACAAATGTTGAATTCTTCCTATATCTACAATATTTTAAACCTTTGCTAGTCAGTGTTGTGGAATGACCACCAGCATCAGCACTTGGGAACTTATTAAAAATACAGACTCTCAGGCACAACCCCAGAATCTGCATTTTAACAAAATCCCCAGGTGACCTGTTTGCATATATGTTGGCATGCACTGCTTTAGAAAATTATCTGACCTATATTGCCCTAGCCTGAGGAAAGAATCAAGTATTCAGAAACTTTAAAAGAACAAACCAAAAATAAATAAATAGGGCCTTCAGTGGCCTATTCTTTTAAAATGCATAGTTCCAAATGGCAAGTGTGAAAAGTAATTTATCCACATCAATTTTTGTACCTTGTACTTAATATGAACTAGTAAGTAAAATAAAATGGTTTTGTTACAATACTAAGGACACAAATAAGATAAATGCAAATTTTATTTTCACTTAACCCGTGAACCTTCCCTTCTAAGCCCCTACTCTTTAGGCTCTCCCCATCCCCTTCCTTCACCCGTACTAATATTGAAAACATTGTGCGAGACCAGAAGTCTGGCCCCAAGCTCACAATAAAGGCAAGTAAGTCAGGAAAACAAAGCAAGAGTCACATTAACAGAACTTATTAAGGAAGAGAAAGAATGCTTTCCACTCAAGAATTTAAAAGGGCAGTACCTCCCAGCAGGCTCCCAGATGTCTGCAGGGAGTGCACGCCGCCAGAGTGAGCTCCCTCACCAGGCCTCCTCACCAGTCCGCTGCGACCCAGTGTCTTAGGATCTGGCTCCAAGCCCCCACAGTGAGTGCAATCCAGGGGGAACACTGTGCCCCACACCCACCCTGGACCTCAGAACCATACTGCTAGCCTGACCAGGAGATACCCAGTGCCCGCTCCTCTGCGAATCCTGGGACCTGCTACCAGAGTGACCCGGAGCAACCCAGAGCACAACCTACTCTGGGCCATAGGAGAGCAGGGACTGTGCAACCCAGAGCAACTGGTGCCTGCTCCACCCCGGCCCCCTGGACAGCCCTACTGGAGTGACCCAGAGCAACCCACATCTGCTTCACCCCAGCCCAGAGGGATGACCCAGAGCAATGCAGCACACACCTCACTCAGGGCCACAGGGGAGCTCGGACTGTGCGATCCAGGGCAACCCACGCCTGCTCCACCCGGCCCCCACGACAGTCCTGCTGGTGCCATCCAGAGCAACCCAACGTGCACCTCTTACTCTCTGTAAAACTCAATAAAATATATTTTTAAAAAAAGACATCAAGTGGCTGAATGGTTAAGAAAATATGACCCATATATATGCTGTCTACAAGACACCCACCTCAGAACACAGGCTGAAAGTGAAGGGATGGAAAAATATTTTTTAGGCAAATGGAAATGAAAAAAAAGCTGGGGTAGCAATACTTATATCTCTGACAAAATAGACTTCAAGGTGAAGGCCATAACAAGAGATAAGGAGGGCCACTTCATAATACTAAAGGGATCAATACAACAAGAGGATATAACTCTGGTAAACATATATTCAGCCAATGTAGGAGTACCCAAATACATTTAAAAAATAATAATAATAATTTAAAAGTCCAATCTAGGATTTTTTTTTCTCTTCCTCTTTTCAGAACTGCTAGGTTTACAGTAAACTAAGCTGGTTTGAAATGCTATCCCTACCCATTACTTCACACCGGGTTTTATTCACAGTTACCAAAACAGAAATCAAAGGATTACCTGGGAATCAGATCAATCTTTTAAACACATTAATGGCCTTAGATTAGGATTACTTTTTTAAAAGTTTTAATTTCTGCAAAAATAACTCTACCAGTGTTACAATGTAACCCAGTTTTGACAATAGTAAATTGAATAGAAAACATTTTTCAAATATATGGATTTTAACTGGAGGGCATAATAACATATTCTATTTTTGTTCTATTGTCATCTATGGGTAAAGAAAGCATTTCATCATCATTCTGGCAGCTATCTACTGCTGCTAAAGATCTCTTCTGGTGAGGCTGAAAGAAATCGCAACCAAACTTTGGGTTAATGTTGACAGAAGACATTAACATGACTAGGGAGAAAGAATCTAAGAGATAAGTCAGTTTGGGCTACAGGAAATGGAGGCAGCTGGTACTCCTGAAGGTGATAAAACAAGGGGAGATAGAAAGAGATAGTTGAGAGTAAAGAAACACTTTAACCCCACATTTCTCTTGATTCCTCCTAAACTATTTAGTTATTATTTTAAAAAAAAAAAAAGGAAAAGAAAACTTTACCAGCACATGCTTCCTTTTATTGGCATCTATTGGATGACATACTCTAACAAAACATGGGCCAAGAGAAAAGGTTATGGAATCTAGAGATAGTAGCCTAATACAGAAAAGAAGCAAATGGAATTCTCAAGGTGACACAGCTGTATAGTCCAGGACAACAGTTGTACAAGAGGCCAAGAGAGGATCTTCAGAGCACATACAAGAGACAACCAAAGAATGCATAAATAAGTAGAACAGCAGATTGATCTCTCTCTCTCTCTCTCTCTCTCCCCCCCTCACTCTCTGAAAAAAAAAAATCAATAAAAAAAAAATAAAGAAGTAGCAAGATAGTTATGATCTTTACAGCAATGGGAAAAATGGCTAAAAGTTCAAAATGGTCTTTCTGGGGAATTAAGTGGTGGAGAGTGGTAAGATACAGGATACATTTTTAAATAAAAAATAAAAATAAAACAAGCTATTAATGCTTTATTTTCCCACTGGCCTAAATTCTGGGAGGGCATAGATCACATATTATTAATTTTCCCAAAGAGCTAAGTAAATATCCAGCACACAGAAGCCTGTCAAGTGGTATTTTTGGAATAAATAAAAATATAACCTGATCCTAGAGTGGCCCAGAAAATGATCACTGGCCCACGGAGTGGTGCCCTAAAAGTGCCTGGCAGTCTGTTACTCTGAGGACTGTGTGAGAGACCCACTGTGAATAAAACCCATTGTGAGAGACCAGAAGTCCACAGGCTTCCCCAGGTAACCATTACTCTGAGTAAACTGGAGTTGCCTTAAATCCGATTTTGATTACAACTAAGGAAGCTCAAGTTCTCACTGCACTGTTGAAATTCTTTGTCTAAAAATGAATATTTCTGCTTTACTTGGTTCTGGTCTGTTTCCAATATTAATACGATTTATAGACTCAGTATCTAACAGTTGATTATAATGAGAATGTCGAAGGAGAACAATTTTGACAGGCAAAAGCAATCAGGTCTGCTTCCTGGCAACATAAACTGTTCTCCTTCCAGCAATTTTTTGAGTCTGCCCCAAATTTAACAAGTTTTGTTCCCTCTTTCTTTTGTTGATTTTTCAGGGAAATTACTTGGAAAAAAAATTGTTCTCTTTAAATATTAAAAGTATATTTAAAGTCTCAGTTCCATAAAAGTATATGTTTCTGGGTCTAAATGAAGATACTCGTGTTTGTCATTTGTTCAAAAAAAAAAAAGGAACAGTAAATATTTCATGAATTAGTGACAGTGGCCTACCAACTTTTAAAACCCATATTAAAGTTTTCCCCTAATCTTTTTACTTATAATGATGTCAAAGTACTGCATTAATAGTTTATTAAGCACACAGTAACAGAAAGAAAATAGTAATTAATAATCCTGTGAAGCAGATATAAAATGATTCAATGTATTAGCTTGTAAATTGGGTTTTAGGATTAAGGGCTGAAGAACAGCCATTCCCTTCCCTGCTTGCTCCACCCTCAAAGTAGCAGGAACCTCTAACATAATGAGAAGCTGGTATTAGAATCTCTGGTGCCAGGGACCCACAAATGCCCTCAAGACTATGAAAACCGGAGGGTGTCTATTCTCCACCAGACCTTGGGCAGAAAATACATACAAAATGACCCTACCAGCACCCATCACAATGCCTTATACAAAACAGCTATTGATGTTGTAACTGAGCCATTTCTTCTAAAACTTTACTTAAACAAAATTATAAAATATTTATTACATGCAAATACCTGATACCAAAATACTTCCTTTTATAAGCAACTATTTGTGATACTCCATACTTTATCAATATTAATATTTACATAAATAACCATTTCATTATCTGATTTTGGAGGTCCAAACTAACTTCAAACATTAACAGCTGATCCTGCAATTACAGGTGGTATGACAGGAGCTTGATTTCATAAGAACAATATTCCAAAAACAATACTTAAAACACAATGGGCTTTCAATATTTGATCGTTACATGGATTAATGAATTTAACAATACATTTCCACAGCCTGTTTGCTCTATAAAGAGAAACAAACAACCCTTACTCTAGGCTTCATAAAATACTCTGAAAAGAATAGCCAGATAGTTTGGAAAATTATGTTTGCTATCCACATTCTTGCCACCTGCATGAAACTTTCCTGGCTGTATTCACCAGTAATAATCTTTCCCCTTCCTGACCATCTGGACCACGAGATTACTGGAGAGCAACCAAAATATAATTTCACATAAAAATGCTAACTTCCCAACAAATTACTGAGGTCAAGAATATTGCTATAGGCTTTCCT